TATTTTCACACATTGATTATGGATTAATCGGAGATAAAGATTCTCCGTTCTCGCCAAATTTTTCGCGGGGACAGGAACGAGAAATTTTTTTAATTTCCTGTCAGGGATGGGGACGGAGAGTATACTTTCCGCCCCCGTTCCGCTCCGTTGCCATCCCTATATGAGATAAGTTATGGAATATTATTAGAGTAGATGGTTGAGGTAAATTATATGATGTGTCTCAATTGGCATACATTTTTCAAATACTTATACATAAGTATCCAAAATAAAGTCAAATTCATATCATTTTACGACTCTTAATAAAATAAAATTTATAAATTTATTTTGAATTAATTGATCAGTAAAATTATGACTCGGGATTTTAAAAAATTCATTATTGTACGATCGAGCAACGTAAATTTATAATTTTAAATTAACAAATCTTACACAAGAATGAAGTACGTATGGGCATTAGACAACTCCATGTGCATGAAGAGGGAGAGGGCTTTTGTGAGCCACACTACGAAAAAGGAGTATTTAAATATTGAGAAAATAGTACTTTGGTCCCATCTTGTTATTAAAATAACGAATTTGTCATTCAGATGTCAATTCTGACGCGTTGAATGAGAATTAAATTATACCACCAATAATAGAATGGTCAAAATTTTACACAGATAATTTAGAGACTGAAAATATTAGTACTATTTTTTTTTTTTTTTTGAATTTATGTGTTTGTAAAAGTTTAAAGTATTATAAACTGAACGAGAGTTATATAGAGAAACACCCATTCTTTTGTTATCTTAGTATTGTTAGGTTAAAGACTATTTACAGTTGAGTGACATTATCTTATAATTGTGAACTATAAATTCTTCAAAATTGCAAAAAATTATGAAATTGTTATAACTATACACTCTTGTCTATGACTTGGTTAGAGAAAGGTATTTTTTTTTTTTTTTTTTTAAATTGTCATAGTAGGTACTTATTCTTCCTTTTCCTTACTCTATTCGTCTCATTCTATATATCTAATTCAATTAACAAGGTTTGACTTAAATTACTTATAATTCATTTTTTTGGTAATATTTAGTTTAATATTAAGATATAAAATTTATATATTTTAAAAATTATATTAGAAGTAATATTAAATACAAAAAAAAATTAAAAAGTGAAAAAAAATTAGTTTGTCCATTTAATAGTAAGCAAAAAATACTGAATAAATATTGTGTGAAACCGTCTCATCATGATATGTGATACTTTTTAGTTAAAATATACTCCCTCAGTCCCGTAAAGGATGTCTCAATTACTTTTGGCACGCAATTTAAGACAAGCAAAAAAGTAGACTCTTTTTCCATTTATGCCCTTGTGTTCTCTGACTTTATTTGCTACCCAGTACTACTCTTTCAATTCTTCTTTCTTCTTTTCATTCGACTACTTTGCTACAGAGGCATTCCTTCATCTCATTTGCAGATATTTTTTCATCTTTCTTCAACAAATATTCCATAACCTCTTTGTTTTTTATTATTCTCTATACACTCAGTAATTATACAAAAAAAAAATACATGAATTTAATACTACTAAAACCCACCAGATCTGCATTCAACTATAAGAATAAATAGAAAAACAGAGGTAGTGATGTTCACAGATCTGAAAGACTGTTGCCATTAATCTGCGGATGTCGACAAGGATGAGTGTCGTCATCAATTCAAGGAGTAATAAAAAGCCGGCGGGAACATATACAAGCAGTTACTAAAAAAGATGGATGGGCATTCCGAAGTGTAAAAAATTCTGATGTTTCATGGATATTCGAAGGCCGGTCTCACCAATTGAAGAGACGATGAAAGAAAGGAAGAGTACGAAAGATGGTTGAGGGCTTGTGTTTGCAAAATGGAAGTGAGTAGACTAGGGAAGAAAAGTTTATTTTTTCTTATTCACTGGACACTATTTTTAAGGTTTGGGTGTATGACAGTTGGTGGGCACTAATAAGTGTTGAGTAGTTGTAGTTAAAGTTAAGGGTAAAATTGTAAAAATAAAAATATATTGATGTTTATTTTTGGAAAGTGGACAATATTTTGGGACGGACAAAAAAGGAAAGTAAGACAGACAAAATGGGACGGAGGGAGTAATATTTTTTTATAAATGTATAAAATTAAAAATGTTACATTTTAACTTAAAATTATTACATATATGTTCAACACGAGACAGTCTTATATAAGATTTACTCAACAATACACGGATAGGTAAACAAAAATTGGATCATTTGATATTTTCAGGCGTGTAATCACTTTCCTATAAGCTTTAAATCTCCATCTATAAAAGCAACAAGGTTCAAGATTTAATCTTATGAGATACAAGAAGATGAATGAAATTTCAAGTTTTTGTTCCCTGTTGTCTTCTGTAATTTTGTTGTATTTCAAATGTATTACAGAATAAAAGCATTTTTTCCAACAAGGTATTATTTGTCTTATTTTATGTTTTTTCTTTCTTTCTTTTTCAGGTTGTTTCTTTCTTTTTGGTGGCGATGGATGCATGGATGGTGTTCTAACCGAGTTGGGGTAGACAGCAACGGAAGCTTTGAGGTTGTTGGAGCTGGAGTCCCCGTTTTGCCCTTTTGCTGCTGTCTTTGCCTATTGTTTGTCGTGTCGATGGAAGGCTTATTTGGTAAAAGTGCTCATAATGTACTCTGAAATTCGCAACAACCAGTCATATTGTAAATGTTCTGTCTTATTTGGCAGTAAACTTTTGTGTATGGTATTCAACTTGAGCCAACAGTATTAATTTTGATGAAAATGTGACTGTCACAATATTACCAATGGAAAATGGTTTGTTTAGTGATTAAGTTATAATAAATTTAGTCTGTGTTATAGGTTTTATCATTTTCAATCAATGACGGAATTTCAACAATTTTATTGACGAATGATTAAAAATGGTCACGTTATGATAATACTAAGGAGTTAATACCTCTAATGGTCCTCCGAGTATTAGCGATTTACCAACTGTGGTCATTCGAATTTTAAATGACCTCTTGGTTCTCTATGTTTTAAAAAATAACTACCTGTGGTCCTAATTCTTAAAAAAAAATCCGAGTTTAAAATGATCACGAGACGTCCTAAAAGGACCAGGGGTGGTTATTTTTTAAAACATGGAGGACCATTGAAAGTCATATAAAACTCGGATGATCATAGCTTGTAAATCGCTAATACTTGGAGGACCATTGAGGTTATTAACTCTAATGCTAAGACTAATCATTAAAGGGGATGTTTTGAAAAAAAAAAGGAAAAAGGGTTAAATAGGCCCTCGAACTTTAGCTTAAAAGTCAATTAGGCCTCTAAACTTTTTAAAGGTGCAATTACACACATCAACAATTCATTTAGGTGCAATGAAGCCCAAAAACAAGTTAATGACCTGCTATCACAGGTCATTAGGATTCATGCCACCTTCTGGCGAATTTTCCGACAAAAAAAAAGTGACCAGCAACCGACCCAGATTTGCCGAAAATTTCGCCGGTCACTTTTTTGTCAGAAATTTTGCTGGTCACTTTTTTTTTTTTTACCGGAAAATTCGCCGGAAGGTGGCCTGAACCCTAATGACCTGTGATAGCAGGTCATTAATTTGTTTTTGGGCTTCATTGCACTTAAATGAATTGTTGAGGGGTGCAATTGCACCTTTAAAAAGTTTAAGGGGCTAATTGACTTTTAAGTTAAAGTTCGAAAGACTATTTGACCCTTTTCCCAAAAAAAAAATAAATTTAAAAGTGGATCAACCACCATGATCAAGAATGTGAACACCTTGATATGAGACTCCAAAATTTCATACATGAACCAAAGAGGACACGACTAATCTCAAGGTCACCATAAAAAAGGAAATTGAGGAAGAATTTGCCGCTTTCAAAGTGACACTTTGCAACCACTTAAGAAAATGGAGGAAACTCTTGCCTTCATGATGAAAGAGCTCACAAAAAGAATTGAGATAGAAGCCCAAGCTATCGCTTCAAGAAGTGGTAAAACACTCCCGGAATCAAAAAGTGTCGAGAATGATCCCATGCTAGATAAAACTTCCGTACTTCAAGAGATTCCAATTCATGAGTTGAAAAATAAAAAAGGGGTAGAAGAAGAGAGTGAAAGTGATGAAGAAATTGAGGTAGTGTGAGAAGATGAAAAGCCAAATACTGACGACATTAATTATTCATGTGGTAAAATTCTTGATCCTACTTGTGTCACTACATTTGAAAATGAGTTAATACCCAAAATCGTCCTCGACTATAGTGATTTTTCTCAATTTCGTCCTAAACGACTTTGGTGACCTAATATCGTCCCAGACTTTTGTGTTTCGCTCAATTTAGTCCTCCATTTGTTATTCCGTCAAATTGGTGTTAAATAAAGGGACAATTCAGTAATGTCAATATTGATCTCTCTTTACTTTCAACTTGTGAAGTGCGAAATTCATCTTTCTTGTACGACTTACACCCAGAATTACTCCCGGACCTGCAAATCAAATTTTATATTTGCAGTTTTAGGAGTAATTCTGGGAGTAATTCGTAAAAAAAAAAAGATTTCGCAGTTCACATGTCTATGAGTAAAGAGATGCCAATATTAAAATTACGAAATTGTCTATTTATTTAACACCAAATGGACAAAATAACAAATGTAGGACTAAATTGAGCAAAAACACAAAAGTCTGGGATTAAATTGAGCGAAACACAAAAGTCTGGGACGATATTAGGTCACCAAAGTCGTTTAGGACGAAATTGAGAAAAACCACTATAGTCGATGACAATTTTGGGTATTAACTCATTTGAAAATATATGTGCTCAATCTTGTGATGATAATACTTGTGATTCTTGTGAGGATGAGTCCCTAATGAAAACCGGGCACACAAGTGTTTGAAACGCACAAATGGTCCTCACTAAAATATGCCAACAAGTGTTTCGATGGTCGTATAATTGACTAGTATTCTTATACTTTGAGAAGTCTGATTCAGAGGTGACGGAGAAAATTCACAACCTCTACCCCAAGGTATCTACTAGGTAAACCAAAGTCTAATTCATTGTTCTTCTATTGTTACCATATATAAACGACAACACCATTTTGTGCACAAGGTTCTTGTGTCCCATTTTTCCCACTCACCAAACACAAGACTCTCAAAGCATTCAGACTGGGAAAAATACAAGGTCAGCTAATACAGAACTAAACTGCGAAAAGCACCAATACAGACCTTTTTTTTTTTTACTAATAGTAAAAGATAAAACAGTAAAGTTTACATGTGATAGCCTAGTACAGCTATGATATGAAAGAGTAAAACAGCAAGAGAATGAATAAAAAGGATTGAAGAGCACACAAACAAATAGCTTCCGGAATTCTCGTCCCTAACAAGGGAAAACAGTGTCTAAAACCATATCATGATTTTAGAAAGCTATGAGCAGCATCTGAACTCAGTTCTTCATAAACCTGAACGCAACAAATAAGAGGTTGCGTCACTCTTACTGAGGTAATAATGTCCAAAGATTCCATAGTCAACCAAATAGCAAAAGCACTATCATGGAGTATACTTACAAGTTTCATGTAAACTTGCTGAAATGCCTTGCAAAACTTTTCTGCTTCCGCTGTGCCAACCTGTAAATTGCAAGGACAACTGCAGTTAAAGAGCCATTACATCTTCATCACATCATTTCAGTTCCATTTGCCAATCAATGGAGAGCTTGAATAGGTGTTTCTACAATAGACAATATGGATTGCAAAGCAAAAGCAAGAGGGAAGGAAATCAGGAAAATATTGCTTTTAGGTCAGGTGCCAGTGTTCTGTGTTCCTGCTACAATGAAGAGTGCATATGCACTATGTTCTGGTCTACTGCTAAGGAAGATGGAGTTGGGGTGAGTGTCTAATTTGATTCTTCCAGGGGTTTCTCTAGTTTTAAGTTTGAATGGTCATTTCTTGTATGGATCATGATGGGTTCTCTTCTTTGCAGGTAGACCTCCATCTATGATTGTAGATGGGTTTCACCTCAGTTTTGTGTTTTTAATGAAATCACATTACCATATCAGAATCTATGGAAGTATTCATTAAACATAATATAATAGAGAGACAATTCTGAGTTGACATAAGGAAATGACTACAAAGAATTAAGATATCATTTATAATTTTTTGCACCCACCCATTTCTCTTAGATGCCAAAAAGTAACACCCTGCTCATCAACGTTTATCTTTTCTCTGAATTAGAGGTGGTAGCATTGACTTATTCAAGTAGGAAAAAGAAACAAGGAATCTATCCCAGATTTACAACAAAGTATAACACAAATTGGAAAATCATAGAACGCAAAGTAGCAGATCATGATAACAAACAGAACTCATATCATCTGGTGGAAACCGTGGAATGCCTATAAATGAACAAGTGATTCATAACCATAAGAGTGGAATATGTTCTGTATATTGGACAGCAAAAAGTGATGCATTAAGAGCTAATGGTAGGTAATCAAAATAAGTTCCCCTATTTGCTAGTGAATGTTGGATTCACCTGTATTCCATAAAGACATAATTCCATTCATCAACCAAGGAATAAAAATAATGAGTAATAAGACAAACCTTTTGCTCTGCAACTGCCTTCAGTTTGTTCCAAAATGCATCTGTATCATGTCAATACATCTAGTTAACAAAAATTTCCAATTCATATGATTAAATGCTCATGTAGGCATTTTCAGTATGTATTCAAATACAAAGCAACAGTAAAAAACTAAAAATGCAAATACTTCAGGTTCACTCTAATTTAGAAAATAGAAAAAGAAATTGAACCCTTAATGGTTTACAAAAATACCATGGTAGTCAATTTCCCGAGTCTTAGAACTACCTCCATCAGCTCCATTCCCCTCATTGAGTAATTTCCTTCCCTAATGATGAAAATTTTGGAATCAGATGCTATAAAGCTATAATTTAACCAAGCTCCATACCGAAAGAATTCTATGTTTATCTACCTCCAAATTTCGCACCGACTGAGAAGCTGATGGCCTCGTCTCAGATTCAAGCTGAAAGTAAAAAAAAAAAACAAATGAATAAATAAATAAATAAAATTGTTTCAAGCAACTAAATATATCAATTACTTCAGCAACTAATTCTTTTCCTCTATAATCTAAACCTAAAATTTAACTTAAATTCCTGGAAAGTTAATATCAGCTAGCAGAGGAAAATCAAAGAATATGGAAAAGAGAACAGATAATAAAATATAGTGTAGTCTCGGAGAAATTTGTGTATATACGGTTGTATCTATCAGAGAGTTGGGAGGTTTACGTGAAAATCGCGAGATCTGACGACCGGGAAGAGCTCAAGAAAACGTCGGAATTCAAGCTCATCCATGGCCGAACTCCTGCCTTCTCCGAGTTGAACGCTCGAATTTCAACTCAATAGTCCTTGTCCTTTCAAATTGTTTTCTTCTTTAGAGTATTTTTTTTGTCTTCAATGGGTGATGAAAATTTTTAACTTTTAGGCCCTTAATAATTATAATAAGAATAAGAATATAATAAACTTCAACTTCTCAATTTATCAACAAATGATACATATATTTGAATGAAATTCCCGTGTCATAATGTTATTGATATAAATAAAATTAATGAATAAAAATTATGGTCAATAATTTTCTAAACGATACAAGCAAATCACATAAACAAATAATACAAAATATTATAATTTATAACACTTTTATTTGGTATTGATGAAGTGATTTTTTTTTTTTTTTTTTTGTATATTGATCGTTTTCTTTCAATACATCTAGAAAGAAATAATTTATCATACATTAATCAATTAACTTCGAGACTTAACACCAAACGAAATTAGACTCTCACCCTCTCATTGCAAGTAAATTTTAGAGTTAATAACTGAAATGGTCCCTTTACTATAGCGAAATTACCAATTTGATCATCGACTATTATTTTTACCCGATTAAGTCCTTAACTATGAAAACTTTATCCAATTTGATCCTCTGTTAGGTCAACTGTTAATTGACTGTCAAAATTGAGGGTATTTATGGAATTTCAATACATGCACCATTTCCACGGTCAAAACTCTTACTTCCAGTGCTGCTAGGAGCTGGATCACCATGGCCTCCACTTCACCGCCATCGCGCCCCGCCTTCCCCGGCGGCGTAGGAAGCACTAAGAAGCCTCTTGGCCTTTTTGCCAACGCAATGAAGAGAAAACACAACTTCATTCAATTCTTCGCGATGACCGGAATTCTTCTCTTGAGCGTGCGCTCTCTGGGCCAAAAGTACCGAATCAACGATCTCCAAGCATGGAAGCGCTGAAAGAAGAGCAAGAAGAACTTACTAAACGCATGAATCACATCAGGCAAAGCCTTCTAGCTGAAGCTGCCGTCGAGCCCACCGGCCGCTTCGCCTCCCGCCCCCGCCTCTTCTTCGCCCAAGACAAGATTAGGGTAGCGATTTCCCAAATTTCTAAATTTATTTATTATGAGTTTGTTTGAATGTTAGAAGAGAGCAAGAAAAGCAATTTGGGGTTGTTGTTTGTGCCACCATACAGAAGGTAGAGGGACCAGGGTGGGTGCAGACTGCAGAGAGATCCACTTGGGAAATTCTAGTGTATTTGTAGTTAGGCGAAGAGTGAGTTTTAATGGTTGGATGATGGAATATATTGGAATAAACATTTAAAAAGTATAACAAACCAACAACACTAACAACTGGTAATTGGTGAGCAATCTACTGTGGATTGGATACACAGTCGCCGAAGGTTTTACGATGCTAAATGGGGAAGGAGAAAAAGAGCCAGTAGAATTACAATTTTGTCCTCATTTTTGACGGTCAACAAACAAACAAATTAACAGAGGACTAAATTAGGTAAAAATTGTATAGTTAAGGACTTAATTAGGTAAGAATGATAGTCGATGACCAAATTGGTAATTACAGCATAGTCGAGGGACCATTTTGATTATTAACTCTAAATTTTAAGTAAAGTTTCTTATTCACTACTAATACCCTATGAACATCAATTTGTGTTCTTTATAGGAACGAACGAACTTCACAAGTCTTATTCAAGTTTTTTTGTGATAATGTGTATATGTGTCTAATTATAAGTATATGTAAAAATATAACTATATCCCCCAAAAATTAAGTAAGAAAAAATCAATTTATTATTGATAGAATCTAATATTAATTTAAATAATTTACAATCAATTGGTAAATGCAAAATAATTACAAATAATTGGAGTTGTGTTTCTCGGAAACTAGGTTAAGGGTAGGATTATCTCATTTTTGAAAGAGTTAATTTCATCAGAGGTCCATTGTCTTTGGTGGTAATTCAAAATTTAATTCAAAATTATTGTTTTTGTCATTTAACATTATAGACTTTTATTTTTTGGACATTTTTAGTCATTCTCATGACTTTTTCTTACCCCAAATACTTTTTCTCATGACTTTTTCTATTTTTAGTAAGGGCATTTTTGTCTCTTCATATTTTTCTTTTGTCATTTTTCTTGTTTCTGGTCAGCGCAGGGAGGTGACTTCACCGGCAGGAGTTTCGCGGCGAACGACGCCGATCAATGCCCACTAGGCTCTGATATCATGTTAAACAATGAACTCACCTTGTATTTCTATATATTTTGTTCATATGTACGCCTATCAATGCCCACTAGGCTCCGTTCGTTTGTGTGTTTGTCGATCGTTCCAAAACGTTACGGGCCTCTTCCGGTACATCTACGTAGTTGTCGCCTCTATTCTTCCTTGCCCCGTACCCTCTGCGTCCTTCCGCTGCTTTCTCTGTTACGAATAAGATTAACTTATACTGAAAGCTGGTTGCGAGCCGTTTCTTTAGGGCACCTATTCACAATTACAAATCAAATAAGTATGAGTTGAACATTGGTGATGATGCTTGTGACTTAAACTGCAGAAGTCTGGATGTGGTAAAATTAATTTAGTTGTATAGTCTATGAATGTGATGTATTAAGATTTAGGATTTAACAGGTTGGTGTTAATTTTTGTTTGTACAATAATATTGGATTTCTTTTGTACATTATTTTTAATATTATAATAAATATTTTTTATATTCTAAATAAAACAATTAAAATGTTTAATTATATCATTATACTTATTTTCCAGAAAATGGATCAAACACATTAAGACAGTTTTTCAGAATGCAACCAAACAATGAATATTAAACTATTTTTTGAAAAAATGACTCATTTTTCAGAAGTCATTTTCCTGATTTTTAAACACACCCTAAGAGGGCAATTTCTTCCCATTTTAAATAAACATCAGCTTGAGGACCAGTATATAATACATAACAGGTAAATGACTTTTTCTTTAATTGTTTTTCGAAGTGAAAATAATTGACCAGAGCATTTAAAATAGGAACTTTTCTGGGTTTGTTTATTTTTCTGTAGATAAATCCCAGATGTTGTCTATGAGGCATTTCTCATCTTTTTGTGGCCCGTTTGGTTCACGGAATAGGCCGAGAATTGCATAACATTCCCAGTAATAGGCCTATTCCTTTGTTTGGTAACCCTTTTTATTACCAGGAATAATATTCCTGGTAATAGCCTATTACCTCAAATGAGGTAATAGCTATTACTAGGGCCCCCCTGGTATTAGCCTATTACTGAACGCTCAGGAATAGATTTTAGAATCTATTTCTTTTTTTTTACCCATTTCTTTAACCTAATTTTTTTTATCCTATATATAAATTTATCCTATTTCACCATCGTCGTCACCACCACCACTATCGCCGCCACCACCACCACCACCGCCACAACCGTCGCCGCCCCCACCACCATTGCCACAACCGTCACCGTCACCACCACCACTGCCACCGCCACCACCACCATTACCACCCCAGCACCACCACCACCGCCACCACCACCATCACCACCACCACCGTCACCATCGCCGCCACCACCACCACCAACATCGCCACCATCACATATTCTTATAAGGGTATTTATGTCTTTTAAAACATATTTCATTTCTATTCCTTAAATCAACCAAACACTGTAATATAATTCCTAAAGTCTATTCCTTCCGCGAACCAAACAATAGAATACAATTCCTATTCTATTCCTTGCCTATTCTATTCCTTATGGAATAGCATTCCTATTACCTCAAAATTCATTCCGTGAACCAAACGTGCTGTTGGAGTTTGTCTCTTAAAGAGTTCTTAAATGAGATTTTTTTAGAGAAAGTCTTTAATTCGATCGAATTTGAAAATTTTCTCTATCTGAGAGTCTTAATTTCTTGCAAGACTCTATATGAATGAGTTATTCACCTAGTAGTTTTCTAGATAATAAATTAAAAATTTTATTTTCTTTTCCTTTAATATGTTCTTATTTGATTTTAAATCTTCTATTAAGAACAAAATATTTAAAAATTAACCGTCTATATTTTACATCAAAATATAAAATCATTACATTTGTCCTCAAAATATTACATTTTTCGTTATTAAAAAAATTTATTTCTAATTCGTATTACAATATAAATATTATTAAATTTTTGTATTGACTCTACGGACAAAATTTGCGACAATCTTTTTAAAGATTGGTTTCAAATTATTAAAAAAAAAAAAAGAAAGAAAGGAAAAAAACGAATGGTTTCAAAGAAAGAATAAAAGTTGAAGAGTGAAGAGAGATGACTTAACATTAGGAAACTAGGTAGTTAGCAGCATGGAACAAAATTTGCCCCCAATGGAATACTTTGACAACATGTCTAAGCTTCATTCTACTGCTACTAGGGGTGTGCATTCGGATAGATCGGATGGCGGGGAGGGTATTCCGATCGAATTTCAAATTTTAGTTTTGACAACCCAATTCGTTTTATTTTGTTGACTTATCCGTTCGGTTATAACATTTTTCGGATTGTATCGAATCGGTCGGATATCCGTTAGTTTTTCGGTTTTAAAACAATGTACAAATTAATTCAAAAATCAACATCATACGTTCATTGATAGAAAAAGTTAAACAGCTACCAATTTAGTATCTAACTGAGTAAATAACTTCTAGTGTAATAGACTAATACTATAATACTAACTTAGTAATTAATATTACTAAGTAGTCTATTAACTAACACTAACAGCATGTTTGGTTCATGGAATGAATTTTAAAGGAATAAGAATAGTATTCCATAAGGAATAGAATAGGCAAAGAATATAATAAGAATTGTATTCTTTTGTTTGGTTCGTTGAAGGAATAGAGTTTAGGAATGTTATTTCAGTGTTTGGTTGGTTTAAGGAATATAAATTGAATATGATTGTAAAAGACATAAATACCTCTATACAAATGTATTATTATTATTATTATTATTATTATTATTATTATTATTATTATTATTACATATGTTTTTTAAATAATGTTATTCTATAGCAACTACACTATTGTATAAAAATTAACATATATATATACACAAATATTACTGATAAGTGAAAGAACAACTGAATTTGAAAGCATCAGGGAGTTTTGTTCAAGATAAGAGATTATCCTTGATTCAAGGAGTCTTTCTACAACAACTTGTCAGATAATTAAGAGTCCTATCTTCCAAAAAAGGCTGAACCCCAACCCTAAGAGCCCCCCCACACCCCGGCCCGACAGAGCATTTGGGAGGATGTAAATCATGGTGACTCAACTGAACATGAACCACAGAGGCTAGACCGGTGCTCACTGCGCACAAGGAGCCCCCCTCACTTTGAGAGGTTGCTCCCCACTGTCGCTGGTGAGACTCGATCCCTGGTCATTCTTAAGACTCCTATCTTCACTATACAAGGAGATGTGATTAGTTCAAGCAGACGAGGAATTACAAGTGATTAATTTATCTATCTCCCTCATGCCATTTCACATAATTATCTCTAAAAGCAGAATTAATTTGTTTAATCATTCTATCATTGTTAGTGATCGAAATATATATATTAGAGAAGTCATGGCTATGTAAACCACTTGAAGCGGCACGGCGAAAGAGGACGACATGGTTCATCGGCAGCATTAATAACGGTGCTTCTGAGAATAGGTGAATTGTGGGTTGATGCAAATTCTTTGGAATTTAAGAATTTTAACAAGAAAAGAGAAAGACATTAAAGAGAGAGTTCATTGTTGGAAGAAGCTTCTGTTCAAGGACAAGAAAATTAGGCACTTGATGTGATCTTTGTTAACGATGATTTTGAACAATGCGGGTTAGCTTTCTGGCATTAAAAAAAAAAGTGGCTCACAGAGTTTTTTGTTCCCTTCTGATAATTATATATTTTTTGTATGCTTTCATGCAAAACAATATTGTTATCACCATCTTCTGGCCACGAGTAATGAAACGCATGGGATTATGAGTATTCTTTATTATTGTTGATCAATTTACTGTATAATAATCATTTGAAAATGATATTGTATGAATTGATTGTTACAAATTTCTTGATGCAGTGCTAATTTAATTTGCCCAGGAACATGGATTACTTACTATGAATATTCAGTATTAAATATCAATAATAATTAATTTGTAAAAAATAATTGATGAATTAATTTGTAAAAAATAAAATTGAGAAAATTACCTTTGTTTGAAGCTTTAATTTGATGTTGATGTAGATGATAGAAAGAATTGCAAAGATTGATGCAAAGAATCGAGGAAGGAATCGTAGATGGGGGAGAGAACGCAGAAAATGATAAAGGTTAAAATTGAAAAAAAAAATATTATATTCCTGAGGACTCAGGAATAAGTTAATACCAGGGGGGGCCCTGATAATAGCTATTACCAGGTAATAGGCTATTACTAAGAATATTAAGCCTGGTAATAGACATGGTTACCAAACAAAGGAATATGCCTATTACTGGGAATGCTATGCCATTCCTGGCCTATTCCGTGAACCAAACGGGCCGTAAGAGTCTTAAGTGTCTAAGACTCTAACAAAACTTACAAAAGTAAAGTTGATAGTGTTAACTGTTACAAAGTACAGACCAAAACTCCAAAATGATCAAAACTCTACACAAGTGTTAACTCTTAAGTGTAAATGATCAAATTTACAAAATACATAACTATTGAACACTTGAACAGTCTAAACTCTAAACTGAACTACTGAAGCACCAAAATCGGCAAAATCAGCAACAATCAGCAAGTGTCAACTCCTAGACTTTTAGACAATTTGAGGCTCTTCTTCCTGTGAATTGTAACACAACTGACAAGTTAGTGAAAATAATTATTACACAAGCAAGCATTAGAATTCTAAAAAAATGAAACACAGAGAAGGGATTATATCAATTTTGGCTCATTAAGCATTTTTTCCATATCATTTAGATTAAGGGCAAATTGCTTCGATATAACTTAAGTATAGAGCAACTCACCAACTTAATCCTTTTCTTTTCAGATTAAAGGTGGAAGCTTCATCCTTACCAAATGCCAACTTAAAGGAAACAAACATAATAAAATAGACAATAGTTCATACATTACCAGCCAAATGCCCAAGGGACTGGACTACTTGAGGCATCAACTTAGTAAAAGTTACCAGACCTTCATACTTACAGAGTTACAGTCTTACAAATGTTCAAGCATTCAAGCATTCAAGCTAGTAACTAATAACATCAGTCATTCAGTCACAGTGGGCTCAAAAAATACCAAGTGAGATTAGTTTGCAATTGAGTCAAATACTGTAAAAGATTGCAATAAAATCAAGTAATGTCAAGAATAACATTACAGGAATTGTAGCAAGTGTAGAACCAAAAGACTTCCCACTTCCACCATCACCACTTTAACTCTGCAAAATAAACATACAAGTATTAGTATAAAACAGTAAAAAAACTAATGACTAAACTACTAAAGAGTAAAGACCTAAAGTTATACCTTTTTCAAACCTCTCCAACTCTTCTAGATTCTCCTCAATACATAAAGGAGTATTTTGCATTCTAAGCCAATCTTGTGTACACACCAATGCTTCCAAAATTTGTGGAGTTAATGAACTCCTAAAAAGATCCAATACTCTCCCAGATGTACTGAAGGCAGATTCTGAGGTAACAGTTGAGATTGGAATGACTCGGACATCCCTAACAAGCTTAGACAGAACTGGAAACCTAGTAGAGTTGATCTTCCACCATCCAAGTATATCAAAAGATTCTTCCTCTTCAACTATTGCCTCACTCAAGTACATATCCAACTCAGTTTGTTTCTTACCCCGAGACTCCAATCTTTGTTTTTTTAATTTGGGACTTGAGTAAATGTTGTGGCTTCCCAACAGAAACAGAAGAGGCAGATATAGCATGAACAGAAATAGGCACAGAAGAGACAGGCACACAAGGGACAGAACTCACACTAGAAGAGGCAGATGTAGAATAATCATCAAATAATTTATCCAGAGCAGCAACTACTTTGTCATAGAATGGTTTACCCTTTACCTCACCATAGAGATGATTAAACTGAGTAGACATATACTCTAACTTGTCTCGAGGGTCTAGAATGTTTGCAAAAAAAAAAAATCATTAGATTCATCTGATCAACATCACCCCAATACTTCTCAAATTTTGCCTTCATATTTTTCCCCATATCACCCACTGCCCCACCAGCTTCCACCATGTCTTTCAATAGGCAGTACAAATCAGAAATCTCAGTAAAGAATGTGTTTGAGGTGACATATAAAGAACCAGAAATCCAAATGGTCATGTCATAAAAACACTTCAGTAACTGGACCAAACTGCCAACAGATTTCCAGTCCATAAAATCAGGAATTGAATTACCCAAATCAGACTTGAAAGAACAATCAGATTCCAAAGATTCAAACACTTTCTGGTAAGCTAATGCAGACTGCAACATCAAATAGGTAGAGTTCCATCTGGTTGGAACATCTAAACACAAAGAAGACCTTTTTTTAATACTCAACCAATGAGCCAAATCCCCGAACTTCTTAAGCATAGCAGGAGAGTTTCTAACATATCTGACCACCTCCCTAATCTTCTTAACAGAACTATCACAATCTTTCAGACCATCTTGAACTACCAAGTTCAAGATATGGGCAATGCATCTCATGTGAAGATACTTTTCCCTCGTAGTAGATGATCCCCAAGACACTAGTTTTTTCTTCAGAAACCCCATAGCAGTGTCATTTGATGAGGCATTATCAACAGTCACAGAAAACACATTTCTAATCCCCCACTATAGCAAACAATTTTCTAGGGCTTTGGCTAGATATTCACCTTTGTGAGAGGTAACAGGGACAAATGCAAGGATTTTCTTATGAAGCTTCCACTCAAAATCAATGAAATGGGCAGTTACTACCATGTAGTTAATTCTTTGGATGAATGTCCAAGAGTCAGTAGTGATACTAACCCTATGACTGCTTCCACTTAAAAATGACTTCAATTTTAGTCTCTCCTCTTCATAGACAACTAGGATGTCCCTACTTATAGTCCACCTAGATGGAACTATAAACCTAGGGAAAGCAATAGCTATGAACCTCCTGAAACCTATTCCATCCACAAATCTAAAGGGGAGTTCATCAATATTATCATTTCAACCAAGGCCCTCCTAATTGACTCTTGATTAAATACCAGGTCCCTATTTCCCCCACAGTATGTCGTGCAGAATCAGATGATGTAACAACTTGAAATGTTAAAAGAGATTGCCTAGTATCCTTAGAGTGAGGATTTTTTAGACAACTCATCATGTGGTTTCTACAGGAAGATGTAACATGTGTTTTTGACTCACCCAGATACACTTTTGCACAGTAAATACACTTGTCTTTTACAGCAACACCATTACTGTCAAGAATTTTCTCAAAAATGATCCCATACTAAGGATCTAGCCTCAACCTTCTTCCTCTTCTTTTCAGGAACTGCAGCAGGAGGTTGCACATTCTGCTGTTCATTATGCTCAACAGTTTGGGCTTCCACCCCTGAAGGTCCCTCTATTGAAGAGTTGGGAGGTTGACTACTAGGCATACTGATATTTTCCATCTAAGAAATGGTTAACTATCAATACACATAAGTATGGTTCATATTCAAGAGAATAAATGAATAATAGACAGTCTCAGTGTCTCACAGTCAGGTGAGTAAGCCATACAATTACACATTTTTACACAATTACACAGAAGCACAGAGCATGAAAGCAGAAACCATTCCAGAATCAGACACATTTTGTGTCATCATTTTCAAAGAATACATAATTATTTTTTTAAGTAATTTAGTTTGTGTAATTGTGTCACCATTTTCAAAACCATTAAGGGCATACATCCATAAACTTGACATTTTTTTTTTACTGAAATCCAAATTCAGGGTTTTAATTTCCCTTTCAAGAGAGGCAGAGACTGTTATATAGCTCATGGCCTCATCTTCATCACTCATCAGGCATCATTATCTGGATTTCAAAACTTGGGGACTTTCACCACATCAGTATATCACAATTTCTTATACATTAGGGGCAATTAAGTGAATGACATGCAATCTGCAAGATTGGAACTTCTCAGTTCTCAAGTCTCAATAGATGCACACTTCATAAAAGCTCAACATTTATATGGATTTCACACACATGGGCTATGGGCTTCCACAAAAAATACAGAAAAATCATACAATCACAACTAAGTGATTCTAAAAATTCATAAACAAGGGACAAGTGAGTAGTGACATGCAATATGGAACTTTTCAACAGATTCACATATTCACAGTCCACATAATTATAGATTCATAGAAACCCGAATCAAAATATCAGAAATTCACAAACAATGGACAAGTGACATGCAATCTGGACCTTCTCAATAGATTGACATTATCACAGTCCACAGAATTATAGAAACCCTAATCAAAGTATCATAAATTCACAAACAAGGGACAAGTGACATGCAATCTGGAACTTCTCAACAGATTGACATTATCACAGTCCACAGAATCATAGAATCACAACTAACAACAACGTATCACAATCTATAAGACTATAATATAATTATGTATAAGATTAGGGTTTAGAGATTACTTCGTTTTTCCAAATTAAACCCTGAGAACAAAGGGCTTCGATTCCGAGCCAGCAATCTACAATCCACCGCACCGGTCGATAACACACCGAATAACAGAATAGGGCTTCCACCGAACAATATTAGCTTCCATCGGAGACTCACACTCTCAGTCTGTAAGTCTAGAACTCTAGAAGAGACTCAGAGAGACCGAGAGAACTCAGAGAACTGGAGAAGAAAGAAGTAAGAACTAGGGTTTCAGAGTAGAGAGAAGAGAGAACGGGACTACGAAAGTCGAGAGAGTTCTTAGGAAGCTGGGCAAATGACAAGGGTTTCAGCTACAAGCTTTAAAACGCAACATATATACTAAGTTTACACGACGTCGAATACCTAAGGGTATACAAAGTCTTAACCCTAAATCGGTTTGTCGGATGGGTTCGGGTGGAATTTATAACCCCCAAACCTACTTCTTATAACCGGCTTCTGAGAACGAGATCGGATCGGGTAAGCTTCTTCGGTTTCAGATTCCGCACCATTGCTTCTCCTCTGGTTCGGGTCGGTCGGGTTAATCGGGTTTCTCGATTTCTGCACACCCCTAACAACCTTTGTTACTCCAAATAAAAATGTTGCTTCTAGGATTCAAACTTGAGATCACCATTCATGCTACTATCTTTTCTACCTTGTTTGACTTTACTTTGGGTATCCTTTGCTACCAACTTTGCTATTCCAAAAAAATCCCACACCATATTAAAAACAATTTAAGAAAATTATTTTCCTTTCTTTTTCTTGTCATGAATAATTTTTACTCTCCCCCTTTACAATTTAAAGGCTCTAAATGACTCTAGAAATCTTCTAAGATACTAAAAATAAAATTAGGGATTCTAAATATTTCTTAAGATACGTTTTTAGATAATCAAAATTTTACAATTATTCTTAACACGTGTTGAAATTCGAATAAAACAATAAAAGCTTCCTTGAATAAAAAACATATGGCTATAATAGACTAAAATTAGTAGATAAGAAATAATTATACATAAAATTATAAAAAACATTTTAAATAAAATATAAGTTAACTAATAACATATCAAATAAGTTTTGAAAAAAATAAACTAAAATGCTCAAATGAACTCACCATTTCTCACAGAAGATATTGATCGGTGGGTACAATTCTCGACCATTTTACTACAACTTGAGTTTTTTTATCGAGGATGTATCAAATGGGTAAAGAATGGTTGTTTGAACCAATTTCACATTTGAAGATATAAAAATTTGATCAACATATTGAAATTCAATTTTACAATTAAAATACACTATGATATACTAACCATTAGTCACCATGCTCACCGGAGTAGATAATGAACCTTGAAAGACACCATAAATACATCGTTGACTTGTTTTACAGGGTACAATATTGGATGAAGGATAACAATTTTTTACAAAAAAAATATTAAATAAGTTACAATTAAGAATCAGTAGATAAATAAATATAAATAAATAAATAAATAAATAAATAAATAAATAAATAAATAAATAAATATATATATATATATATATATATATATATATATATATATATATATATATATATATATATATATATATATATATATATATACACACACACAGAGACACACACGAGCCTTGTTTATAGGAATGAATAAAAAAAAAGACAACGCAATAACAAAGTATATGGCAAATTATACTGTGGGCCACGGTCCACAATGCATTATGGTACAGACATCAAAACAGTGTCGTTTCTTTTAATGAAAAAAAACGGCACCAGTTCCGCGCCGTCTACAAAAAGTAATTTTGATTGTATAATATATTCAGTTTCATTTTGTATACACTGCAGTTTCATTTCAACACAACTACAGTTTCATTTTGTATACACTGCAGTTTCATTTCAACACAACTACAGTTTCATTTTCGGTATAACTATAGTTTTATTCAATATTATACACTCAAATATGTGGAACTATTATTCAGTTTCATTTTATATATACCCTAAAGTTTCATTACAACACAACTACATTATCATTTCGATATAACTACAGTTTCATTGCACAATATACACTCAAATATGTGAAATATTATTCAGTTTCATTTTATATACACTGTAGTTTCATTTCAACACAACTACAGTATCATTTTGATATAACTACAGTTTCGCTGGAGAATATACACTCAAATATGTGAAATTGTTATTCAATTTCATTTTGTATATACTGCAGTTTCATTTCAATACAACTACAGTTTCATTTCAATTCAATTGTAGTTTCATTTGATAATATAAAAATAATATGTAAGGCAGTGTCAGTTTAGATACACTGTAGTTTCATTTGGTAATTAATACACAAAAATACGCGCTCCGTTAAGTTGTAACGACTGCTGTTTATTTTACTTAAAAAAATGGCGCCGTTTTCAGACCATGGTCCATAAAACTTTGTGAACCGCGGTCCAGAGTATAATTACTGCAAAATATATATAATAGTCTATTTAGTTTCTACTAGAAATAACTATTCGAATAGAAAAGTTGCACACAGAAAATTTATATAATTTAAACAGGTATAGAAATTCAAATACGAACTGAAAAGTTACATACAATAATTTTTTTTTTGTTTTTTTTTTTTACATGAACAAACTAATTGAAGGGAAAAAACCCAGACACTTTACAATAAGATATTAACACTATTCTGTTAATACAAATCTAGGCATACCTCTTGGTCATGAAACACACACTCCTTACATTTGATCTATTCACTACCTCTCCTTTCTGAAATTTCATAAGTCCGCACACACCAAACCTTGATAGCATTGCTAGTTTTCAAAGGAGTGATTTCACGTGCCAAAATGTATAGAGGTACCATGTTTATGGAAGTTTGAATTGGTATTGTAAAGTATATATACTTTTTTGGTAATTTTAAAAAAACTTGTGACTTTATCATAGTAAAGGAAAGGATAGGAAGTAAAAATTTATCTTGAATGAATATATTCTTTCTAATTTTACCGCTTTGGACGTAGAAAGTTGAAACCATTTCGGCGAGTCTTCTTCTTTTGTGCGGTCGGCAAGGCAAAATGCTAAGAGCTGCAACTTCTCATTCACCGGCGATTGCCATTCCGGCGGCTCTATTGGCTCTCTCTGCTGCCAGAATCTCGCCCTCTCCATCCTTTCCCAGGCTCTCCACTTTCGCCCTCGCTCTTGCCGGAAGAGCCTCCTTGCACTGTACACTCAGTCGCCGTTTTCCCGTCCCCGGGAGGGTCAATCTCTCAGTCATGTCAGACCGGCTTCCTGTTTCTAAAGGCATCAGAGGTGCTTATTTTCTCCGACATTTTTGTGTGATTCTATCTATACACTTGTGTTGCAGTGATGATTTGCTTACTCCATTTTATTTGTTGTGAACAATGTTTTCATGGAAGCCGGAGTTTTGTATGGGTCAGGGTTTAATAGGTGAAAACCTTCCTGTGTATTTCTACGAAGTTTTTGGCTATTAGAGCCGGTTATAGTGGAGTACTTTTTTTTAAAACCTTCCTCCTGTGTATTTCACTATTTCTTAACATTGTCTGTGAAAGAAAACTCAGAAGAGACACGCTGCCGACATTCTGGATATTGCAAGTTTATTATTCGGATCAATTTTGGCAATTGTTGAATTAGTCTATGAGAAAAGTATGATCAGTTGTTTTCCTTACTCTTTGTGCAATGCCTTTGTTAGTATTGTCTCCTGCAAAGAGATGAAAAATTACAGTTGCAATGCTTCTATTCCATTTCCCCTTCAAGGCTTATCTTTAAATTGAGTGAAAGAAAGCAGAGTCAGAGTTGTGGATCCTATTTTTGAGAATTACTTCTTGTGTATGAATAATTGAAGAGACTGAGCAGTGCTTAATTCCTATCATAGTCTTAACAACAGGCACATTTCAAGAAACAGGCCAGCAATAAAAATGCCTCTTACACCCATGTCTCTTTGCCAAAAATGATATCAGGAGGGCATTTTTGTCACATGACACTTTTTTTCTTCTTTCCTGAACCAATTGTATATAATCAAAATATCCCACCCTTTTCATTTTTTGTAAGGAGGCACGAGAGTAAGATCCATTGAAAATTTCCTTACACATGCACAGATTTGGGTATGGGTATTTTTGTCACTTGATTGTTTATTCATTTTTCATTCCTTAAACCAATCTAACACTTGAATATAATTCTCTTTGTATTATTTTCTATGAACCAAATAATGAAATAGTATTTCTATTTTAGTCCTCCTCTATTTCATTCTTTATTCAAACCTATTTCTATTCCCTCTGTTTTCGTTTCACAAACCAAGATTAAAGTTTCTTATCATTCACTTATTGCTTATACTATATGAAACCACATACTTGTCAGCTTCATTTAGTTCTGGAAGCAGTTCAGAACACAATAGGGAAATATTAGTTCAGCATTTGCTCGTGAAAGAAGATGACCAGAAGCTTTTGCTGGAACTTCAGAAAAGAATTGCACAAGGTTTGTTTCCATGCATTTTTTTATACTACTGAGTAAATAATTGGTAACAGTGTTCATGTGTTAGAGAAATTTGAGTTGTACTTCTAAACTTGGGTTATAAACCCTGGTTACTAGATCCAATCTTCTCTTTTTTCTGGTCCATGCAAGGTTTTTGCTGATGGAATAACTTGTTATATGAAGGTGAGGATCTTAGTGATTTGGCTGCTGAATATTCAATTTGCCCATCAAAAGAAGGAGGAGGAATGCTTGGTTGGGTGAGAAAGGGGCAAATGGTATGCCGCATTTATTACTTGTCTATTTTGATTTTTGACCTTTTGGAGCTATTTTCCCTCCTAGATGGTCCTTGTGATTATTGAAATCAAAATGTTTTCAAGGCTGTGCTTTAGTTTTAAGGCTTAATCATAAATTAAAATGTTTCATTTGGAACTTGCAGGCTCTAAAATTTTAGAAACCAAGACTGCAGATGCCTCACAATTTATAATTTACTCTAAAAGATGATGTAAGAATGCTATTATGAATTATACACATATTTGGGTTCAGGAGATGATTAATCAATTGTGGTTTTATTTTCCCCAGATAAATGGGATGCCAAACTTAAAATTCCAGTTAACTTTCAATAATTTTCTACGTATTTCCTTATCCTTTTCTATTTCTGAATATTGAACTTTTGCAATTGTCATTCCTTTAACATCTGTCATGGTTTTGTATCTGGTAAAACCTTTCTGTTATACCCATAGAACTACATTCTTCATATACAAGGATGGTTCAATGTGAAAATTTGACAGAGGTTGTAGAAATCTGTGTTGCTTTGTTTATGCTTTGTTTATAAACACCCAGAAAGAATGGCCTTCTCTTTCCTGTTGCCAGAAAAGGATGCCCAGGGATTAAAGGGGCAGTTGTTTGAAAGCTATTACCTTGCAGATAAGCTAGTTCTGTTTTAGTAGCACTAGTGGTTTTAAATGGTTTTTGGCTGGTAAAACCTTTGCTCCTGGGTTTTGAATGTTTTATCTTGTTTTAAAGGTCAATGGTTTTGTTCATTGTTAGTGCTAAACAATGTTTAGCCTGAGAGTGAAGGATTGGCCGATTTGGCCCTAGCTGTTCTTCTTTACCAGAACAAGGCTTTATTCTCTAATTGGGAGTTTGGGGCTTTTATTAGTGTTTCCATTTCTCTTGGATCACATGCTGCATTATGCAGTCCTACATGCCAAAATCAGTTGATAACCTTTTTTTTTTTTTTGATAAGTTTCTACTTGATTGATGTTTCTTAACTTGGTAACTTATATACAGGTGCCAGAATTTGAGGAAGCTGCATTTGGTGCACCCATTAACAAGGTTGTCAGATGCAAAACAAAGTTTGGATGGCATTTATTGCAAGTCCTATCTGAGAGGTAATCTGAGGACTCGTCATCAATTGAAACTCCTTTAGTATACACATCTTGTTTCTTACTTTTCTGTTTTATTATGTCCAGGGAAGAATCCATTCTTGAGCATATCCAACCCAATGAGCTTTACGTGAAATTGCACGATCCCACTTTCATGGAAGATGCTCAATTGGTTGATGTTCGGGAACCAGAAGAAGTGTATGAGCTGACTTTGTTAATTCAGAGTGATTTCCAATTAAAGCTATTTTGTTTCTGCATTTCAAATATCAGAAGTAACTGTTGAAAGTGGAAATATAATGAAGAAATAAATATTTCTTGGAAGAGGCCTTAATCATTGAAAAGTATAATGTTCATATGTTCACATGAAATTGATCAAAATTTTGCAGGACTAATTTCTAGTTTTCTTTTCCTAACTTCAGCAACCCCCTCTCTATTGCTTGTTGAAGTCTGGAAGAAAGTAGAGAAAATGTGAAGTACTATTCTTATTCACTCTTTTTACTCTTTCTGTTTTATTTTTTCTTGCACAGAGCCAAAGCACATCTGCCAGGCTTTCAGGTTCTTCCACTTCGCCAATTTGGAGAATGGGGACCCGAAATTACAACTAAGTTTGATCCTCAGAAGGATACATATGTCCTGGTTCGTACATATTTCTTAGTAAAGCATAACATTTGGACTTAGTTTGGTCTTTGCCTAGGTTGTTGCCAGGTGGCAAGCCCTTGTGGGAAGGGGATGTTAACAGCACTTTCACCCACTCCAATGTGTGAACTTTCACTCACTTGATTGTCACTCTTCAAAGACCAGTTGGTCTCTGAATTAAACTGATAATGTTATCTTGCATTAAACTTGTCATCTGACATGCAACACTTGCCATTCTTCCTCCTCTTATCTTTTACTACTCTATGTCTCTGTACAACAAGGATTCTTATCTGTATTCTTTCTGTACTTGCTTCATTCTTCATATGTAATTGATAATATGTGGTAATGGCTTCCAATTTCAAGCTTTCGAGATCTCACTGTAACCAAGTAGTTTCTTCCACGGTTCCACCGCTGGACTTGGGTATTTGATCATAACGATTCCGCCAACCTGACTGGTAAAAAGTGGGCCTAATCCTTGATAAAGTTGTAATACATCTAAGAAATTATTTCATCAAAGTTATTCCCCTTGGGGTACCTAGCAACATGTACTAAATTCCCTGTCCAAGCAAAGGAGCTTATGCCAAAGAGTCTTGACAAATGATGACTTAGCTGAAATTCAGCATGTTTGAACCATCAACCATGAAAAGCTTGCTTTCAACTTTGATTGCATGCTCATTTCTTTGTCTTCTAACTTTGTAATTAATGTTTGTTTCTGAATGTTGAATACCCCTCTTGTTAAAACCAATATCAATCTTTTCTGCAGTGTCACCATGGCATGCGGTCTTTGCAAGTTGCCAAGTGGTTGCAGACACAGGTAAATCAATTGGCATTTGCTTATAATTTAAAAGATAGCATAGTTTATCTTCCATGTAAAAACCTTTGCTCATTTGAAAAGCAAATAATTGTCACACACAGGAATACATAAAACATTAGTTTAAGGAAAACTGTTAAAGTTGCTCAAGACTTATAACATCAATTAAAATGACTAAAATCTGAAAGCTGCTCAAGTCCCAGGTACCGTCTGCCATGGGATAAAAGGGCCTAATATTTGAAAGAATGGAACTAAAAGAGATGGTATTTGAGCCTATAAAAAATGGCTGTAGGCTTAATAATAAGTGCAGTATCTTTTATTTACTGATATGATGAATTCAAATGGAAATAGCAGTTTTGTGAAGCATGTTGAACCTAACTTGCTTGAGCTCTGCAATCATTGGTTAACTTTCACTGTTCTCTTTAAATGCTTTTTCTAAGCATGAAATCCCCATGTTGGGATGTTTAACTAGTAAACGAAATAATCATTTATATTGTGTATGTGTCATGCACCTCTATCTGCATTTCCATTCTCTCAAGCCTAATTGTGTCGATGCAATTGCTCTATTGGTTCTTTTATGCGGATGCTTCAAGTATCTATCACGAATACTTTGATTTGCTTTTCCAAAACTTATTTTGTAACTGTCAACTAAAGGGAAAGAAACCTAGAGAAAATTGAGTAGATTATATGATGCATTGACATTGAAAATGGATTGCTTTTAGCCTTTTAGAGTAAGGTGGAGTGTTTGTTTTAATCAAAGCTTGGAACTTCCTAGATGTTCTAACTTGAGGGAGAGTGTTGAAAAACAAAGAGTTGTGTCTGTCCTATGTCTGTTTATGAATAGGTGCTTACTTAAGAGTTATGTGTCTCTATATATATGTATGATGTTTCTTCATTAGAAATATAGACTTGTAGAAATATATTGTAACCTTTTAGTATTATAATACATTGTCTCATTCTTTGATTCTTCATCTTTGCTTTTGTCTAACTGGCGGGTGGTTGTTATTTTCAACCCGCCAGATCTTTTGATCTTTCAAATTGTACACATTTTTTTTAGTCGTACTCTAACCTTAGATAACTTTTTTTTTTTTTTTTCAAAACCCCTTTGCTCTTATATCTTGTTACATTAAAGAATATAATTATTTTTCAATTCGAAAGTACATGTACAACATGGGAGTCCATTCACATAGGGTTATACTTGTATACTTAACAGTACCCATTTCCTTAATGTATCACATTGACAGATTTTTGTTTGAGCTTCTGAATATTGTGTTTTCAGGGTTTTAGGAAGGTGTTTAACATAGCGGGAGGAATTCATGAGTATGCTGTGAAGGCTGATCCATCAATCCCAACTTATTGATGCAGGGCTTTTCTCCCTACCTATCCGGTTTTCATTTTTTGGCGGAAATATATTAATCAGATCTAGAACAGTTTTTATTTTACCAAATATATATTTTTTTGGTATTATGATCCCAATCAATTTTCTGAGGGAGTGCAGTCACACAGTGGTATACATTGTAGTTTTACTGTTTTACATTTAATATGATTTTCCCATCTTTTAATAATTATATATTCTTGAAATGATTGTGTCTGTGATAGAATGAGATCATTTGGAGTTCAATGAAAGTCCTTTCATTTTGGCCATATTTGGTTATTAGCGGATCCCTTAAAATTTTAATGAATTTGCCAACTTTGACGTTTTGACTATAGTTAAAAGTTAAAACGCCAAAGTAGATGGTTGGTTAGCCAGCGGATTGCTCTCGTGTTTGAGCTTAGTGTTTTGGGGAAGATATAATTTTTTTCAAAACGCCGTCACTTTAATTTATTAAAAAAAAAAAAAAAAAACTAAACGGAGAAGCCTTTTTAAGGCTTTTTAAATGAGAGCCTTTCGGCTTCTCAATACACAATATATTCTTGTTTTGTATTATTATTATTATTATTATTATTATTATTATTATTGTTGTTGTTGTTGTTGTTGTTGTTGTTGTTGTTGTTGTTATTATTATTATTATTGGTAGGGAATATCCCGACCGACATAGCTCCACCACGACCGAGGAGTCTTTGTCTCTTTCTCCTTGTCTTTGCAGGTAAAAGGTCGGGCTCCTTGAGAAGAACCCGGTCGGGAACCGACCGGGAGTTGCCCGAGCGATGGTGTCAACCCCGAGCGGTAGTCCTTCGGCGAGAGAGCTGACTAAAGACACGTGGCGGCTCTTTACATCGACAGGCAGGGCACCCAGGAGGATGGCACGTGGTGGCTACGTGGAAGACATGCCGAGCGGCTGGGATCTTGTCTCCGGCACAGCGGCTATAAGTGCCCACAGTAGCTACAGCGTAGAGGACTTTTGGACGATCGATAGGTTGTAACTAGAGACTCCCGACCGCAGTCAGTCGGTACTCAGTGCAACCAAGTAGATTGTACTTAGGAACTCTACCTTGATCAATAAAGATTTACTTGCTTTACTTGGTCTTGTGTTATTTATATTGCTTACGTAGAATTAGCAGTATCATTTTGGCGCCGTCTGTGGGGACCCGTGCAAGAAAGCTACGTCTTGACGAGCACCCGATCACCATACCAACATGTATCCGTGGGCACACAACAACTTCGCCGACGACCAGGCGGATGCGGCAAGCTCCTCCGACCACTATGCTACCCAACAGCAGCGTCAGACGATGGATCTCAACCTCAACCTTTCACCACCGCATCCGTCAAATGCATACCCGGCCGCCCAGCAACCGGTAAATTACATACAACCGGGATACCCACCACCCGGTCTGCCATACCAGCAGCAGCCGATGATGTATCCCGCCCAGTACCCGTACCCGGTCCCACCTCCACCATACGGGTATTGGCCAGGTCAACCGATGTGCTACACCTCCCCGGTTGGTTATCCACCATATACGCCTGCCTATACAGCTCCAGCCGCCGCCCCTCCAGTACAACCGACCACACAAGTAGAGCCGCAGCGTCAGTCCACTTCCCGGGCTCGACGCTCGGCTCATTCGCGGTTGGAGTCGGGGGGTGCTGATGCGATGGAGGCACCAGCTCAGGCCGTTCAAGCGGAAGACCCTGAAGAGGTTGCCCGAGCGGTAGCTTTTGATCGTCTTCGACCGGAGATGCGCCAGCGTTTGGGACCCCAAGACCCGAACCGCGGGCAAGAGGACGTACAAATGCAGGAAGCTAGCCACGAGGCCTCATCCGGGTATAGCGGGTCGAGGTCTCACCGACGGCGACGCGCTCGGGATACTGCCCAAGCCGTTCAAGCCGCCGAGCTCAACGAAACCCGAGGATTGCTTTACAACCTCCAGGCGGAAGTTGCGCAGCTCAGGAGTGCATATCCTACAGCACCCCCGACCGACCGATCGACCCTCCACCAGACGCCTTTCACAGCAGCGGTAATGGCTCAGCCTTACCCGCTCGACTTAAAGGTCTCGGGAGAGAAGAGCTACGACGGTCGGACAGATCCTGAGGCTCACGTGAATGATTTTTTCAGCAATATGATGCTGAAGGGCGTTTCAGACGCCGTGATGTGCAGGGCCTTCTACTCAACCCTCACCGGTCGGGCGGCAGAATGGTTCCGAACCCTGCCCCCGGGATCGATCGACAAATTTGAGACCCTGGCGATCAAGTTTGTACGAAAGTTCATTACTTCCAAAGTGGTGAGGAAGTCTTATATGTACCTCGAAAAGGCCAAGCAGCTCGAAGGGGAAAGCTTAACCGACTTCCTCATCAAGTGGAAGGCAGCGGTCGGGGAGGTCGAGCCCATGGATGATGCGACCGCCACTCACATGCTTCACATCTCCCTCCGGGCGGGGTATCTGTACCAGGATTTTATCCTCCACCCCCCGACCACATATGAGGAGGCCCTCCGAAGGGTCACTGATTATGCTAACGCAGGTGAGGCGAATGTCGTCAAGCGCTCGCAGGAGGTCGGCTCTTCCTCCCGTAAACCGGCCGGCCGGGCGGAACATCGATCGGGAGATGACAATCCCCGACCCCGCACCAGGCATGGCGAGTTTACGGCCTTGAACCGATCCGCAGCGGAGGCCATGCAATATGCCCAGTCCTGCAACCTCATCAAACTCCCCCATCCCGATCGAGATGGCCCTGATAAGAGTAAGCACTGTGCCTACCATCGATGCGCCGGGCATGATACCGAGGAGTGTACCCACTTGCGCCAATTGTTGGAAGATTTGCTCAATTTGGGAAAATTGGACAAGTGCGTGGGAAAGAGAGAGGAAAGCAAGAGGAATACCGATCGGAGGGAACACAGGCGATCTCATCACCGCTCCGATCGGTCGGGTCAGGACCGAAGAGACGATCGAAGGGACGATCGTCATGAAGACCGACGGGACCCTGATCCCCCGACCAGCAGTCGCCCGGTCGGCAAGCCCACCATCCATGTCATATTTGGTGGCCTAGAAGACGCTTCCCAGCCGAGGACGAATTGCCCGGTTGCGATCGTGGACTCCCGAGAGACCGGGAAAAGACAAAAAATGGAGCCCATAACCTTCACCCTAGAGGACCAACCTAGCAGCAGTGACCACGGCATGGAAGCGCTCGTGGTCACGATCGACGTCAAGGGAACGGACGTCCAGAGGGTTATGGTGGACACGGGTAGCAGTGTGAACGTCCTATACTTGGACGTGTTCGAGAAGCTTGGCCTCGACAGGAAGGAGCTGACTCCGGTCGGTGTACCACTGTCGGGATTTACCGGGGCCCTCATTTACCCCGAGGGCAAAATCACTCTCCCGGTCGAGATCGGCACCCCCCCGAAGTCGATCAAGACAGAGCTTGAATTCGTTGTGGTCAACCTCCATTGCGTCCACAACATCATCCTAGGCCGACCCGCCATCATGAAGATCGGTGGGATAATTTCCATGCCCCATCTCTGCATGAAATTCCCCACCCCCAATGGGGTCGGCGTGGTCCGTGGCGATGTCCAGTCCGCCCGGAAGTGCTACACCCGAGCGGTCAACAGACGCGATTCCGGTCCGTCTTCCCGGGTGAATACTATAGCCAAGGAAGAGGCTAAAGAACGGAAGGAGCAACCCGAACCTTCCGAGGAGATAGAAGAAGTTTCCCTGTCCGAGGACCGCCCGGATAGGAAGATTAAAATTGGCCGGGCCCTCACCCCCGAGCTCCGAGCAGAGGTTCTGAGCATACTCAGGGAGTATGCTGATATTTTTGCGTGGGGACCCGAGGACATGCCCGGGATCGATCGATCGGTCATTTGCCATAAGCTAGCCGTCGATCCCGCAGCGAAGCCGGTCGTGCAGAAGACACGACACCTATCTTCCGATCGCCGCGAGTTTGTCAGAGAGGAGGTCAAGAAAATGGCGGCGATCGAGCACATCCGCCCGGTTATTTACCCCGAGTGGGTGGCAAACATTGTTCTAGTTCCAAAGCCCCCAGCTTGGAGGATGTGCATAGACTTCACGGACCTCAACAAGGCCTGTCCGCTCGACCCGTATCCACTACCAAGCATTCATCAAATGGTCGACGAGACGGCCGGGGCCGAGTTGATGAGCTTCATGGATGCCTTTAAGGGGTATCACCAGATTATGATGCACCATGAAGACGAAAGCAAGACAGCCTTCGTGACCCCGGACGGGCTGTATTGCTACCGAGTGATGCCGTTCGGCCTCCGGAATGCAGGAGCGACCTACCAAAGGATGGTCAATATGCTCTTCACCGATCTATTGGGCCGGACGATGGAGGCTTATATTGATGATATGCTGGTCAAGAGTCGGGACCGATCCGACCACCCTCGAGACCTCCGGGAGTGCTTCCAGATCATGAGGAAGTACCAGTTGCGGCTGAATCCGACCAAGTGCACATTCGCGGTTCAGACCGGCAAGTTCCTCGGCTACATGATGACCAAGAGAGGAATTGAGCCCAACCCGGCCAAAGTTAAAGCGATTCTGGACATGCAACCACCTTCTACCGTTCGGGAGGTCCAGCAATTGACCGGTCGGTTGGCAGCCCTTAGCCGGTTCCTCTCCAAGTTAGCCGAGCGCGCTCTACCTTTCTTCAAGGTATTGCGAAAAGTTAATGGGTTCGTCTGGGACGAAGAGTGCCGAGCAGCTTTTGACGAGTTGAAGGAGTACCTCATGTCACCTATTGTGCTCTCAAAGCCCGAGCTCGGAGAAGAGCTAGACGTGTACCTCGCCGTCTCCGATCGTGCAGTAAGCGCAGTATTGTGCCGAACCGATCCGGAAGGGGTCCAGCGACCGGTGTACTATGTAAGCCACGCGCTACATGGTCCCGAGCTCCGGTACTCCCGGTTAGAGAAGGTCGTCTACGCCCTCTACGTAGCCGCGAAGAAATTAGCTCCCTATTTCCAAGGTCGAGCGATCCGCGTTTTGACCGATCAGCCGATCGGACCAGTCCTCCGAACCGCTTCATCATCAGGCCGCCTAGTTAAGTGGGCGTTAATGTTGACCCAGTACGCGATCGAATACCGACCGAGACCAGCAATCAAAGGTCAGGCTCTGGCAGATTTCTTGGTCGAGTGTACCGCCCGGGATACCCGACCCCCCGAGGTTGAGGATCCCGAGGCCGAGTGGTGGTCGCTAGCTACTGACGGGTC